AGGTGAGGATGGAGTTATGTCCTCTTTCCTCGGGGTGTGTTCTATCGTGTGGTTCTTTTGACGTGTGGAGTCCGCCACTTGGGACGATAGTGGGCAGTTTTATGGGATCGGTGATTCGTTTGTGGATTAGTACGTAAGTTTATACCCTGTTCCGCAAGGACAGCCAGGCATCCCGAACTCTGGCCACTGGATAGCACGGCATCGTTGCGATGGGATATACCCAGCCCCCCGTCCTTGCATGACAGCGGAGTGTGTACGTATACTAAACGCTATGGCAGTTTACGTTATGTAAAATGAAGTTAAAAGCATGGCGAGTCTGCCTCTTCTGCCCCACCGCATCAAATACGCGCGCAGCATGTAAACACATATGCCGACCTGAAGGATGATGGCCTTGGGATGTTGTGGCCTGGCTGGGTTGTGAAACTTATAAGCCCCCACCGAGTCCTCTCCTGATAATTGATCGAACCAGTGCCCTTTAAGCGTCAACCCATGACTTGTTCATACCAAGACGGATGCATGGCCGGATGTATGCGAGTCTATAGCGCCAAGTTACAGCCATACCAGTTGATATCGAGCGATAGGTTCTTATCTCTTATCATAATGGTAAATCATCAGTGGAGAAGTGTGGGGGAATGAGTAATATGATCTTTTAATGAACCGTAAGTTGACTAGGTATATCGTATGCAGCTTGCTTGCCTCTCTTTTTTCTTCAGTGAAGAGTTTCAAAACACAAAGGAACATTTTGAAAAGAAACCCGAGGAAACGTCAGAATCTCATGGATGAGAGTGTTCTAACATCGGCTGTGTGAGAAGTGTGTGTGCAGTTAAGGTAGAGGATGTAAGTAGCAGTGGTGCCTGCCAGGAGAGGCTGTCGAGGCGGGCAAAGCGCCAACAGAAGAGACGGGGAAGAGGAGAAGAGGATTGCTTCAGACATCACTCCAGGTAAGCGCTCCCGACGAGAAATGCATAATCCGGCACTGCATCTCCGCATGCGCATCCCTCACACCGCATATGCAGGCACCGTAGCATCGAAACTTTTTTACTCTTTTCCGCCGGTTTTCTCTATTTGGGGAAGAGGGGGGGTGCGAAGGAGGCGGGAGCTATGTGTCTGGGAAGCTCAAGGTCAAACATTGGGGCTATAAGTCCTACCTGTGATGTCTCAGTGTCCCTTATTGCTCCAATAGAACTGTGATGGGGGTGAATTCGTATGCTCCTCGTGTTGAACGCTCAGGTGCATCAAGAATGCGGCAACAGGTACTCCTAAAGGTTGAGACTGAATACCAGAGAGCGAAAACCCCCCCGCCCTGACCAGATGAATTCTGCCGATGACTGTGACTTGCTTCAACATCAGAAGCAAGACCTAATATAAAGCATCGAATGCAAAAGGAAATCTTGCCTCGGCGGAAATTGTTACGCCTTCATGTGCTTGAATCTGATTGATATCGGCGTATCCCCCGTCTCCAGTGCAAAAGATAAAGAAAACTAAAAAACTAAAAACGAGTTACCCCGGTTCCAGCTCCCAATGGTTCATCATTAGAAATAATTCTAACTCCAAAGAGATCATTACTGGAACCGGAGCATTACAGTCCATCTCAGTGAGATGCTGGACAACCCTCTTCCACAGCTCAGAATTGAACCGGTGCCCTCAATTCTATACCTCTCCATGGCGATTGTTGCTACCTTTGTCACTAGAGACAACAGCATTCCACTTCGACGGAGACAATAGGTCAGTTCAGAAATTACAACTCCACCCGCCCTTGAACCCCTCGACCCCACCAACCACCCCACCACCCCTCAATTGCACCCCGCGTTCAGCAGCCCCAGTATCAGTAAGGTCCGGTCCGACATGAACGGGTCGGAGATGGTTTATCACGCCGTAATGTCTATGGAGGCCATCATGAAATTCAGTAAGGGCCCGAGAGCAACCTCATGCTCTATATATATAGAGATACAATTACTTTAATTACTTTGTCTATGAAGCAATAACAATGGCTAAAGCCCAATACACACACAAACACACGCACACATACATACATATCCGGCAGCGGCAGCCGCGGCAGCATCGTATACCCCACCCCTCCGACGATCCCTTCAACAGCTCCTCAGAACCGAAATTAGTCCTTGGTAGGCCGACCTCTCCCATGTGCGTTTTGCTATATACTAGATTTTCTCTTCAAATTTATGCCTATCGAACTTTTGTACCAGTCGCATCTTTCTTGTCATCAATTGGTCGGCACATGGGGTACATAGGACTGCAGAAGGACTAGGTCTATAAAGATGGTCAGCGGAGAAATGCCTGGCTAAGACGTGGATACGAATATCGGTCTCTTATCTGACGCACGCTCGAGCAGGTGCATTGGTGCCCGGGGGCCGCAGACAGACCAGGTCTATAACAATGGTTTGGCGGAGGAAACGCCTTACGTAGTTGAACTGCTGATCCCAAAGCCAAGAGCTACGACGACAAAAGCATGTGGGTTTCATTTTCGATCGATTCAAGTCAAAGGGAACTGGCGGTAGGTAGTCACCGGGGTAACACAGGCGGGTCTGGAGGGACTTGGCTTATGACCTGCTTATCATTTTTCCTGCATACTTAGTTTCATACGCAGACTCTTGCGGGGGTTTCATGATGCAAAATGTTGAAACCGTAATCCAATACCTTTTGTGCGTAACCTATTTTTCTTCTACAGGCCCAAATGACGACAGGTGACGTGGGTGCGGGATTCATCCAGCAGAACTATGCATGTCGTGGGGATTCTAGCTCAATGATTCACTGAACTCTGATAGCGTAGCTGAGACCGGGTCTATGGCCAGTCGCGTGGTCTGTGATAACGATATATGCAAACACTTCATATATCACTCATGCAGTCATGGCCGTCCTGAGCCACTCATCTCGCAATAACACCGTACAACATAGTAATCTAAACCAAATATCTCAATTCCCAGTCGAAAATAAGCAAAATAAACATAAACAGAAAGAGCAAGTAAAAAACAGAAGAATGCTCTGAAACCATCAAATATACGCAGTTAAGAACAAGAAAAGTAATGTACAGTGTATACTAGCATCTGGGCACGAGACTACAGTAGATACTGTATATCACAAAAAAGAAAAAACCCCAAGCGGAGCGTGCAGATTCTATAGCTAGAATAAACTGCAGTATCGAGAATCCCTAAATTCCCCTTTCGTAGTGTACGCTTGATACTATTCATTAGAAATATTTAGTTCATCTGGATGAATAATTATCTTTCTTAAATAAATTTAAATATGCATACTCACCTCGTCTGCTCCTGATGATTACAATAATATACGGGTGAAAAGTATGGAAGATATATTCTGTGAGATATTCTCTGACATTTGGGTGTTGGGGAGGGTTGCAAAAACCGGCGCAGCGTTACCCGGTGTGCACATCGTTACCCATACGGTACTGGTAGAAAGCTGCACTGTCATAAGAAACCAAGTGCAGGAGGCAGAAGTGCAGCAGGCGAAATGGACATTGGGCCGTGGCCTATCGCGAATCAGCAAGCAAAATTGGAGAAGGTTGAGACTCATTGGCGCTATGATAAGAGTCATATTGTGGCTATGATATGGACTACAGCGAATCGGCAAGATTCCAAGTTGAAAAACGCCACTGTAATCATTATACATTATGTTAAGAATACCAGAGCTTAAGTTTAGGCTGACAATTCAGGAATTAAGGACGTGCACCGGTGCACTACTAGTACAAATGAGAGGGCACGAAAGAGAAACCAGTCCCGTACACGCCGGACTTGCAAGATGACTGCCACTAAGCTATTATTTTTCGTTCTGCGGCTGCTATTGCTGTTACAGGACTTGTAGAAAGCATCTGGCTACGGAAATGAGTTGAAAGAGCGAGAGCGAGAGTAAAGATCCAAGTAATCATACCGAGTTCCATTAGCATTATCATCTTGGCGGATGTTCACGCTGAATCAGATTTCTGAGGAACAATGATATAAATTTTCGACCAAGCGAGTGAGGACCATACGCTCAAATTGAATCCACATTACCTTACATATGGCGATCTTATGGCAAGCTCGGCTTGATAGATTTGGGCTCAGCCTGTTGATAGAGTATCTCCCACTGTCAAAAAAATCAAATATTCCATATATCGACCATATCTCCGAAGGAGGCTCTTCTTCCTGTTCTTTTCCCGCATAACTACACCAAATCGATATAAACAGAACATGTCGCCTTCTCGCTCATGTCAATCACCAGGCCTCTAACACCACAAATTTGAATATCTAGCAGAATTATATGCTCGGAAGCTTTAACGGGATTCCAAAAATCTGACCATACCTACTCCGCAACACTATGCTCAATCTATTGAGGAACATGGGTGTATGGGGCTTTATTTATGAGCTGCTTGTCGTCCATAGAGTTTTCTATAACTATGGTACCCAGGATACGGATACAAAAAGGACGCATGTAATGAAAATTTCAATCACTGATGGGGCTATGCAGGCCTATACGAAGGGAAGGTTAGGCTACTGGGCTGCTCAAATCTTGAGGAAAGTGCTACGGAAATTAGAAATCAAACATTGGTGTCAGAATTGGAGTGTTTTTGGAATTTTTAGTTTTCCGGATTTTCGGAAGAGGAAAATTTTCAGGACTTGGCAGCAATAAATCATAATTGCTAGCACAATGTATTTTCGTCAGCAATGTTCGGAACTGCTCTACTTAGTAGGTAACAAACAACTTATGTACGAAACGAATTATCCCCCGCCAGCTTCAGGTTGCTGGGTCTACTTAAGCAAACGAGACTAATATGATATATCCACGATTGCGAACTCTTCCCCCGCCTTCTCACATTCCATGGCTAGGTACTGGTTACGAGACTAGGCTAGGTATAATTTCACGCTTACCGTTAGTGATACCTGACATGTTATGTATGCAACATGAAAAATAGACACCCTTCTTTACCCTCAACTCACACAGCCCCTCCTTGACTAGGGCTTGCCGATAACAAGGAGTAAAAAAATCTCATCTCCCTCCGACCAGAGTCGAACTGGTGACCAACCGGTTACTTTGAAGAAATACGCCCCTCCCTTTTTAGGGGGAGGGTGCGACCATTACAGCCGGGTGTGATACCAACTACACCACAGAGGGGGATATTCTTCATTGATCTCAGAATATGTAATCTTTATCATACCTAGGGCAGTCGTACTAAAGAAAACTTTATCCGCTTGAATTTCATGTCTATGTATCATTTGTCTGGCTTTGCAATACCATTACCTCCCATCTCCATCTCCGAGTCATCCCCGCCGCTCTCCCTGAGGTTCCTTCATCCAGCCATCAAAATACTTTACGTTACGATATATATAATTCAAGTACATTTTATCCTAATGTAATACCTGCACACAACAACCAATAGTACGCCGTTGACATCTTCGGTACCTAGTATAAACTCTTTTAGTCGCCTGCCGCCCATCCTAGCATCTTCCTCCTCGAACTTCACTCGAATACAAAATTCCCAACGCCGTGGCCTGCACATCTTAAGCGCCAAAGCCTATGCCTGTGAATCTCCGCGCAAGTATTGTGCACATACTTGTGCAAGGCAGCATCGCTATGATGTATGTAGGCAAGTAGTACTATTGTCTACGCTATACCAAGAATATATATACCCATCACTCACACCCGCTTACCCTACTCAAGTACGTAGCCGCGGGAAACACTTGATTTCGGGGAAACGAAAAAGCTACGAGATGCCTGTGCCAGGTCAGACTAGGAAAAAGAGAAATGTCATCGAGTAGCTAGATGATCACTAGTCCTATATACTTTTTTTGTCAGCTCCAGTATAAAAAAATGTTGTGGATTTACTAGTATCCGAATAAATGCTCCATATATCCGCAATAATATATTAACCCACACTGCCATTCGCCATATATCACTTTTTTTTTTTCCCAGAAATAGACTTTTCCCAAGCTTGCACCTTCATCTGCCCATCGGCTAGCCGCATACAAACGCTCCTCTGGCTCTCTCCCTACGTCAAAACAGTGCCAGCTGGATTTGCATTGCAGGAGGAGCGGCGGGTCTCTCCCTTTTTTTTTTTTTTTTTTTAATGTCATTAATCGCGTGCCGCCTTAAGGGCTATGGCGGGGTCTCTCCTTGTGGAATATCGTTCATCCTTTCCCTCGAAAGCTACTGTACCCGTGCAATCGATCCGATACAGGTGGCAGTAGGTTGAGGGTGCTAAATAAAGTGCCGATATCCGTATTGTTATTAAAAGGCCCAAATGTTGACCTTTTCTCCAATTTTATTTCATATGTTACGGGGGATTCCATTTTTCTTTTGACTGGGTATGAGAACACATATCGAACGTAACCAGCACCTTTTACCCCCAACTTTATATCGTCGAGTTTGTGCATTCTATATCATTCCCGGCAGCCATTCAATGAGTCCACAACTATGTGTATCGTCCGTTCCTATTCCAAGGTACGATACAAAAAGATGTGCTTTCCCAGACAAAAATTAATGGCTTTACTTTTGGCTCAGGTGCCGACAACTTACTGATCAATGACGATGAAAGCTTTCTTAGAAGAAAACATCTTCCGGCCCCACGGCGCAATTTTCACGCCAACCTGTTTCCGTTCCCAGACAGCAGCCACACTCCTGACGACGCCGAATCACAACATCAACAAAAACACTGTCTTGGCGTCTTTGTTTCCCGATACTGCACGCTGAAACCTTCTCGACTCCATCAAACCGAAGTGTATCCTAGCATCAACAACTTGAGGTTACAAATTCAGCAGTGGAGCAGCCTGCCCTCTTTCGCCTGGTCGCCAAAAGGCTCACAACAGAGACTACGTAAGCCCAGCTGGTACAAGGGTCGAAGAATGGAGCACAGCGGTCTCGAGGAGCATAGCAAGGGCAGCCTGAGATCACTGGAGCCACATATGGAACCCCTCCAGAAAACCAGGTCTGCCGCAATTGAAAGGGCTAAGGAGTGTACAATCTTTCGTTCTGAAAGCATGAGAAGTAGATCAGAAAGTAACATACCACCAGCTCCTTGTTGTCAACTGGACAAGCCAGGCATCACCGTGAAGGAGCCCAGCATGGATCCATTCGAAATCTGGTTCTCCAAGATAGCCGAAGGATCGATGTGGCATCCTCCGATGGAACTGCATGTTACGTCCGCTTTCCCAGCGTCCAGCCGCTTCGTAGAGCCCGGGACATATCCGCATCCAGAACAAGTGAAAGTTCTGGTCCTTTTGGAGGATGTCCACGAAGCCTACAACATGCTTGACAAGGAGTGCTCCTGCGAACTAACGTTCCGGACAAGATTGTCCAACCGGCCGTACAATCGTAACACCCTTGACTGGAAGCCATATTGTGATCCTGAGAACAAAAAGAGTCGTATTTTGAACCGACTGTTTGATAACCTCTTTCAGTTCATTTTCCATCTGCGACAGTTCAAAATCAGGGTGCAACAATGTCTTATACCGATCACGAAACCCATGGATTCACAGTGGTGCAGCAAGATGCTGCTGGATGCAGCGAGGGCGTGGGATGACCTTGTCTTTCTCGAAAATACATATTTCCCCGAGGAGGATCCCAAGATCAAGAAGTGGATTATAAGGCCGTTTATTGAACATCCGGACTGCTGTGAGACAAGTTTGGAGATTTGGAAGGCTTACAAGGAAGAATTAAAGTACTTCAAAACACGGTTCGGGGAAGAGCAAGACGAAGACGATTCTGAGTCGACTGGAGGGTCTTTAGAATCTGAAGAAGGATGGCTGACACGCAATCACCACGCTGCAGCTGCGAGCGAGCAGATGCGAGAGGAGATGACAACTGAGTTTGAAAAGCCCAGCAGTCTATGCGAGAAGGATGTGTCCATGGTAAGATATCTATCCAGTTTCAACTTTGCCCATGTCTTTTAACTGCTGACGCGCTCTAGGACTGTTACGATCCTGCAGATGACGAGGAAATTTTCGATACCTACGGATATGCAGTGGTTGGTGAAGCAATTGAGGATCGCAAGAAATATAATCGAGCTGAGTTGGTGGCCCGTCAGGCAGGTAGGCATATAGATATAGCCATTAGCAGCCTGGATCGTCAAGACTGACTCAGCAGCAGCGGATTGTTCACCACGCAAGTGCCTGATTGATAAAGCAACCAAGAAAGCCTCAGCAGATGTTGTGTCAGAATGGCTCTCAACTCAATGCATTCCAGCTCTGGAATCCCCAGAACCCCCAGGAAATCAATTCATTCTCGAGCGCGATTCCTGCTCTTATTCAGATCTTCAAGTTGCAACTCACGAGCTCTCTAGACCAGATCCTTCGCACAGGTGGGACCGCAAACTGAAGAAAATACCTGCCATGCGAGTTCCAAAAGTGAAAGCCAACAAGTCTCAGGCGAGGCTTGCAACAGGAAGCCAACTGGTGGAGAATCTTTCAGAGAGAATCCGGAGCCATGATAATAAGCTCATTTGTGGATTCGAACAGACGTGGGGCAGAAAAGCCTCGGAAGAAGAGCACGCTCCCCATCTAGGCTGTGACCAACACTCGACACAATCAGGATCTAGTCAAAGTATCATCAGGAGCTCTTCTCAAGGGGTAGAAACTTCCGGAGATTCTGCCAACAGCTTGGAGCGCGGGCTCACGCTCAGTCCTTATGGATCCTATGAAAGCGCAGCTTACACCGAGATGAAAAAACCACTTGGGTCGTTTCAGAGCGGCTCCTATGTCACTAAATTGTGCCAAAATGAGGAGCCTCGTCCCATTATCCAAAAAAAGGCTTCGTTTTTGAACAAGTTGCTTCGGTCACAAAAATAGATCTTTCACCACGCTCCCACTATGGTGATTCTGAAGCTAGGAGGGGGCCAGCGTTGGCTTCCTCTCTGATAGGGCACTCTCTTCTTCTCACTTGGCCTCGATGTTTCATGTTTGCAATGTCGTCTTTGTTGTAATGGGGGTTTACTAGTTGGATGGTTTTGTTAGATTCGAGTATCGCATGGAGTTGCTTTATTTCTGTGGACGTGGTGCTGGAAGATTATTATGATAATGACGATGACGATGACGATGACGATGATGACGATGACGATGAGACAAATGAATGAACTGATTAGTCACACGCACCCTTCCCGCATTTGGGAACGTTTTGCATTTGGTTAGCAGAGTGCTTGGCGTCACTCAGCATCTCTTGGCATTTCCGCTGAGATTCACCCCTGGCGTCATGACTCGCCGCCACGCCAGCTCCTCCGCTCCCGTCGATGTTCACGTTCGGGCACGAGAACAGCACCTGCGCAATCATCCGCAAATAGTTCAGCATCGCAGCAAACGGATGAAAACATAGCACATCTCGTTCTGTGCCTCCAGAGCCTCACCGCACGTATTCGCGGTGCAAGGTTACACAGCCTCCCCCAACTGCGGGACATGTGCATGCGGCATTGCAGCGGCTCCGCCTCCATTAAGATTCCTTCCATTGCTCCTCCTCTGTGGATATGATACGCATTCCTTCGGCTTCCCTGCTTTAGGCCTCCGCAACTAGCAGCTTGAGCCTTGATCTCTCGCTTATTCATCCCCTATCCGGTCTCGACGTGGCAGGGTTAGTGAGCTGGGTGAGAACCTAGATAACGCTCATGTTCACGTCAATCACCCCCCACCCCTCCCGCACAGCAACTAAGCGGTCAACCTTAAATTACGAGTCCGACAAAGGATTATTCACGGAATAATTGTCAAATATACTAGGATAGTGAAAGGGCCTGCGGTCAACCCAAGTTCGTCTTATTATCCGTTTGCGCCACGAAAGGCACGAGATTCCTTTCGGGCACCGCCTCTTTGCCTGTGACTTTGGCACTACCGATACAGAGTGACTCCAACAGTGAGTAAAGATTTCAATTTCATTGATAGGAGAGGCTGAAATTTGGCTGCAATGATGATGAGCCACCATGCGGTTATCTCAGACATTTGACATTTGGGAGCAGGTTCAACTGCGGGACTACTTAATCCTTCCGGAGCACAGGGACGGCTCTCTATCAATATCACAGCATATCTCACTCTCAGTTTTGCTCAAACAAACTACGCACATCCTCCTGTTAACCCCATCACCCCGGAGCCTATGAAGCAGCCTCGCAAATGGCGACAATAGAATCCGATATCTCAAAC